ATTTTTGAGTTGCCAACTAAGAGAAGTAAGTATATTGTTCAGAAATTTTAAAAGACTATCTTCTTTCTGTAAGTAAATTAAAATGAATAATATATATTTATTCATTATGTATTCAGTTTATCTTTCTGAAGGGTCCATTCATGAACTTTTTAAAGTAAAACTATTTCTCATTTTTGCTGGATTAATGGAATAAGCAGAACTTCTATTCTTATCTAGGCAGTATCTACAGAAGTAAACTAAAGCCAAGGATTGAGTAATCCTCTCTTGGTTCTATGTTTTATAGTCAGTGAATCTGGTAATTATCATGTAATGAGAAGTTCAAATCTTTTCATTCTTAATAGCAATTATTTTGACCCAAAGTATTCAAATGTCTTAGAGCTCCACTGTTTTTTCCTTCTGCAGACACAGAAACAATAAATTTTAAAAATTTTTTAAAAACAATAAACTCATATTATTTTATATGATACAAGATAGAGTTTCCCTTTTTTAATTTTCCCTTCTAAAATGCAATCATATCAACTAGTGGAAACTAAATTGAAATGAAAAAAAATTAGTAAATAAATAAATTTCAAAGTTAGATAAAGGGAAGTTTGAATAAAATAAGCTTTTAAAAGTCTTTTGTCCTCCTATTTGCTTTTATTTCAACAAAAGACAGATTCCACAGGAAGTCTGAATTTTAAGGATTAATGATAATCAGGTAAACTTGATATATAATCACTAGTTATTCTCAGTAAGTGATACCACAAACAGGATATTTTAGTTCAGCCCATCTGACCATAGTGACTAATTGAATGAGCAATGGAAATGAAGTCAACTCTTGATTTGATGCCACTTGTCTACATAACAGACTGGCTGACACCCAAAGCCCTGTGCTCAATTCTCATAAAAAAACAAACTAAAATAACACAATCCTGCCATATATCTCCTGTGATGCACAAGATATTTAGTCCAAAAGTACTTATACATGCTATCTATACTTTTCATGCCTTCAGCACAGCTATGCATAGATGTGAGGCCATAGCAATCATATTTTATTTCCCCTCTGTTCCCATCTTTACTTCTCCATGAAGTACACATGCCTTAATCCCATTTATTGGTCAATACTGTCTGTTTATATTCTTCTGTGCCCTCAAATTAGTCATAAGGTAATTGGTTCATTTTCTGCAACCACAGTATCTTCATAAAGTGATGGATTGATAATTTTGATTATCTTCAAAGTGACTCCCCCCCAAAAAATTTTAAAAATCAAAAGTCACCCATAAACAGGTAAGTAACCTGCAATCAGTCAAGCTGGTTATGATACACAGAGGTTCTGTAGCTCTATTACAACTATCTGAGTAGATAGTTAAGATCAAATACTAATATTTGCTTATCTGAAGTTATGTCAGATTCCAACTGATGAATGAAAATGGGCAAGAATCAAAGCATGTTGATTTTGGCTCTCTCTGACTCTTTTCCAAAGGGGCTGTCAGTGGGAAGGAACACAGATTGCCAAGATGTTTGTAAGGAAAGCATCTTTTAACAAAGATTTAATAATTAAGTTGGATTATAAAACATATTCTAAAAGCTATATATCTTACTTTCAAATCTGAGTGCTGTGACTGAGTGCTACTGTTCTATTTCTTCTGAAAAATAATGAAAAAAAATATGTATATATATAGAGAGCGCAAGCACACTGTGGCTTCAGAAATACCATTATAGCAAACAATTTTATTAATACTTTCATAAAAGTGGCATTTAGTAAAGTCTTTCTAATACCTTGATTCAATTAAAACCAAACAAAAGTCCTTAAAACAGTTCCTTTCTGTGAATTACATTATATTTTTGTAGAATTACTTGAATATTTTTTACAAACTAATCTAAAACACTAGTAATCAATCAGGGTAAAGCCAATACAATGTGTTTTCTTTAGTTTATTTCAAAATATTGATTATAAATACATTCTTAATATATTTTCTCCCCAACTCTTTGGATGCAATAATAACAAAAAAAAAAAAACCCAAACAAAAATAAAACAAACAAACAAACAAAAAAAACTGTGCTCATTTTGTACAATGTCAATGTTAAGGTCATGCAAAAGATATTATAGATTAGTATTATCGCCATACATTTCTAAATGTAATCTGTTATTTATGAAATACCTGTTGATGTTATTCATGAAGCCAGGCCCTGTATAATTTATGTATCTTTGTGGCTTATGAAAATTAAATGTTTAAAAAAGCAACAAAATAAAGATGGTCTTAACTGATTTTCTAATTATATATTTATTCACTTTATTATTCAGAGTGGAAAACTAAATATAGAATATAAATTGCCTTATAGACTTGAGTCACTTTACTTTAATAGCTGCTTTCTCATAAAATTACACAAAGATTTACTTTTAAAGAATTGAATCATCTTTATTGATTTCATAAAAAAATAATTTAAAACTTGATTTATCTTACACGGACACAATATATTATCTCAACCCCTTCATTGATTTCATAGGATCTAGTTTTATTTGCAACTGTTCTAACACAGTCCATACACATGAATATAATTCCAAGAAGCCCATGATGTGTCAGAACACATTAGAAATGAACACTTCTTGGATTTTCAAGATTTGAATCAAAGTTCTACTAAAAATGCTGTACCAACGTACATGTCATACCTCAAGGGGTTAAACTAACATCAAGGTTATAGTTGAAGCAACAAAATGTAGATACAGTATTTTAACTGCTCTTGTACTCAACTCAGAACTTATGCCTAACTACATTATCATAAAATGTACAAGTAGAACTAATGAGAGACAGGTGCAAAATAGTACACACTGTATAATGTAGGCACAATGACTTTAGTTAAGGAAAGTATATCAGCCTTAACCAAGGATTTGTTACTTTCATTTACAATTAGAACCTCCAAATAACCACAATTAAGTTACTTAAAAAAAACACTTTGAACATTTATACCTTTCAGCAGGAGTATGAAATAGCCAATATACTACAGCAAGCTTTGAGATGGTGGCAGGTAATCTTGCCATTGACAATTCTGCAGAAACCTTGAAATATCTTCAAAACACCACCACACTGAATAAAAGGCATCATCCCAATGACCTATTATCTCCAGATCATGGAGGGAGTTCTCTGGTTCCTCCCATAAGTGTCTATTTAAGATTCCTCAATCCATACTTTATTGACAGGATAAACTAAAACACTTCCTTTGAAGCCTTTGCATCTCTACCCTGTCAGTATGCATTAGGAGCCCTTTAATCCATGGATGCATGCATGCATGGTAATGGCATATTAAAAGTCCTTATGAAATTGCAGATGAAAACAAGCTGTTGAGAACATATCTTATCATTTCTTTTGAGATCAGAAAGCAATTATTTGTTAGGATTTTTTTATATTCATATAAAGTTTTCACAGACATTGTCATGAAAATTAAAATTACACATTAAAGTTTTAAGAGCACCAGCACATACATATGGAGAATTTTTTCCTATTAAAAAATCTCCGAATTATCTATATGTGTGAATATATACCCAAATACACACACATACACACACAAATACACACACAGACACACCTACCTCCATGAACGCTAAATTTTGTTTGTTTTTATATCTTAGAACAAACACATAAAGCCCTGAAATTAATGCTTAACAGAGGGATTGCTGTTATAACTTTAGCCATAATATCATTTTGGAAGCTGCACCAAAACATCTGAAATTCATGAAGAATGACTATGTTCACCTTCTTGGTATCTTACTGATTAATATAGTAATTCATAAGAGATGGATACAAACACAAACATACAGGCATACACACACACACACACACACACAGAGGCCAAGAGGCAATGTGTTTCTGGATATCACTTTGCCAATTAAGAGCTCCTAAAAATATTCAATATCCCCTCTTATCAAATACTTCATTCCTTTGACCAATTTTTACATAGAACTTAACATTACAATCAAACTTGGGGGCATATCAGTTGCAGTTGCAGACTGTGAACTCATCTGAGACCAGTGCAAGCATTTACAGTGTGGCTTTGACAGCTGAGCTTACCAAGATGTTTACAGATCTACTAAATTATCTGACAGTAGTCAGAATGATGAAAGAACAGGATACTGATGCATACAAGATATTATTAACCTTAGTCATTATTTTTTTAAAAATATTTGCAGTGAAAACTATTTGAATTAAGCTCATAGAATCCTGAAAAGCAAGACAACTGATGGCAAATAACATCTGCCCCAGACATAATACTATAAAACTAAGGAGCCTATTTTAAAATGCACAATTGGTAACAAATCTGAAGATAATATGCTAAATTCACAAGAATAGCACAGAACTGGATTTTTTTTTTGTATTTTTGTTTCTTTTTTTTGTATGTTTTTTTTTTTTGCTTTTTCTGTTTTTAAATTTTACCTGATCACAAAGTCCAAAATATTTCTGTACACATTACCTTCTGTTTCAGTTTAGTATAGTTTTCTATCTAAATTTATACTTACTGATAAATTCACCGTGATCAGGAAAACAAGTCAAGCATATTAAATACATATTAAGGAGTACATACTTTCCTATTTAGTATACAAAGTACTTCATAAATATGAATTATGTTACAAAAATAGCTTTGGGTGCGCTCACACGGTAAGCACTTTGCTAATTTGGGACAACCTTTAAGGATTGTGGGTATTTCACATAACTGAGAACAAACTCTAGTGTTAGTTTAATTTGAGCCATATTTAATTCTGATAAACATCATGTATTTCTTCAGATCACCACAAATGCTATGGAACTCACATTGATTTTTTTTTCACTTTTAGGTTTTTATGTATAGACAGGTAATGCTTAGAGTGTTCAAATTTATTTTATAGTTATGTAATGCATGGTATATTTTAAACAAGTATTTGCACAATTTAACATTATAAATCCATTGGTTTCAAGATGCAGGCCATAAAGATTACCAATTTACAAATACTATCGAGTGTTCTCTCTTTGCATGCTATTTTTTTTTACACTTTTCAGATAATCTTTACACAGAGTTGTTACAATGCCACAAATCAAAAGGATTATTCCAGTTCCACCAACTTAATCTACGTGCAAGATGAAGGACCCAGCTGAGGTACAAACACTGGTACCAGTTTTCTTGAGTTTGCTTTACAAAGCACAAAGAGACGAAGGTTTTGCATTGGGGTACAAAACGGATTTGCCTCTTGAGGTTAAATTCAGTGTATTTTGTGTATAAAGCATCCCTTTGGCAATAGAGTTTGCAGTATCCCCACAGGACTCCACAGTATAGGTTTTATGTAGTAAAATCTATTAAGGAAAGTCTCTTCTACTTGACACATCTTTGCAGCTACAGTTAATGAGACACCCTTGGAAACACCTGCCTCTATGCCTATTGATAATATAGTATTTGGAAATTAGGAGTCAACAAAAGGCACTTTCATCATTAAATAAATGTCCTCTGTATGAAGTTAGATTGCATGACCTATATCTTGTTCAAAGCTGTTTGCTCCTCAAGGACCTGTAGGTAGTCAGGGGAACTCTGAAGTTTCGCCTTCAGTTCAAAATACTCACTCTTCCTTTGTTCCACAACGATTTTACTGTGGTTGCCACCTATCAGGGACTTCTTGTTTTTTTTATCTTGTTTTTCTGGATAGCGGATCTCAAAGCCACTGACACCTATGCTATTATACTCCTTTTTGCTTTCAAGAAAATTTTGAATAAATACGTTGGAATCCCTGCTAGGGAATAATTCATCCAGCTCATCAATTGTGCTCAGTCTCTTCCTGGTATCCACATGTAATAAATCTTTCTCCTTGTCGGCAACATTTCGCATAATGACTTTCTGTCCCGGAGGATCTGAAAACATGAACCCGGTTTCTGACTCTTTCAAGCCACAGGTGTGGCTCTTGCTCATCTGTTCTATAGTTTGTGGAATGAAAGCTTCTGTGCTCAGTCCGTCCTTTTTATTGGTTTTGTGGTCATGCTTCCTTAGCTGCAGCTGCATGGAGCCACACTCAGGATTCCCCAGCCCTTCGTGTTTCACGGTAGGTTTCTTGTTGCGTCGCAGCACAAAAACAAGAAGGCAAAAAGCAACAAAAACAGTTAAAATGAGGACCACTAAGATACTTAAGATTAAAATAGATAGAGGCACGGGGCCACCAGGAGGACTTCGAATGGGACCCAATGGAGTGGTGAATGTAATAGCAGGTGCAGGGCTTGTAAATGGTGCAGATGGCTTGTTTAAAAGTTTGGGACATAAGATTTCATTTTTGAGGGACTTCAGTTCAATGTTGGCAAACTGAACAGGTGTCTCACATTTCAGTTCTTTCACAACAATCCCATCATTCAGCTTCTCCAGCCACAGCTTTAATGCCACCAAGTCACAAGTGCAGTCCCATGGGTTGCCCTCCAAGTCAATCTGTGTGAGAGACTGAAGTTGATCGAGGACCCCACTGACAGGGAGGTACATGAATTTGTTGTTCCTCAGATTCAGTCTAGCAAGGGGTGCTCCAGAAAAAATGTAAACAGGCAGGCTCTTTAAGAGATTATTATTTAAATACAGTAACTGCAAATTTGGCATGGAGTCAAAGGTGCCTGCTAAGATTTCCTTAATCAGATTGTATTCCAAATACAGATACTGCAGGTTATGAAGGCCTGAAAATATTTCCGGATACAGTCTTTCAATCTGATTGCCATTGAGATACAACCTGCGTAAATTAGTAAGATTGTGGAATACATCTCCTTTGATCATTGTAATCTGATTGCTGCCTAAATGGAGCAAATCCAGTCCTTCGAACTCAGTGAAGTCTGAGATATCCACATCTTTGATGCTATTGCCATTGACATGCAATTTCTTGGCATTTAAAGGTTTCGGTATCAGTTCAGACATGGACTGTATATTTTTCTCCTGGCAGTTCACGCTCAGTCCCAAGTCTGAAGGATGTGTTTTGCAAAAGCAAGGCGCCGGGCAAGGTGTTAGAGGAGGCACCCTTGTTTGGTAAGACACAATCTGACTGAGATTGCGGTTGGAGAGGGCTTTGCCTGCCACGATTCCAGAGATCTTGGAAGGATTTGTCGTTTTTGGTGGCTTGGTCACTAATCTGTGCAAGGATGTCTGTGTTGTGTGACCATTGGGAGTGGTGTAGCCATTTTCCAGTTGAGATGGAGGCAGGATACGCACATCAAAATCACTGCCTGTGCCCATGGGGCATAATTCTTGTTTGTTGGTTTCTTTTAACAGCCTTCCATATAAGTCACTGGGAGTTTCACAGATAGCTTCTCCTATGTAAATGTTATATGGCATGTTCTCCAGCCAAGCTTTTAAAGGCAACAAATCACAGCTACAGTTCCAAGGGTTATCTTCCAGTTGCAGTTCAACAACACGGCCAATGTGTTCCAGAACTCCAATATAGGGGAGCTTCTGGATTCTATTCCCTCGTATATCCAGATGGGTCAAAGATGCGAATCGGAAAATATTATCAGGAAGGAATGAAATCAGATTGTCATTAAGAATGAGAACTTTCAGTTTGTGGAGCTTATTGAAGGCTCCTCGTTCAATATACTTGATTAAATTGTAGTCAGCCTGGAGATACTCCAAGTTCTCTATGCCAAGGAAAGTGTCAGCTCGGAGAATCTTTAATTCATTGTTGTTCAAGTGCAACTGCTTTAATGCACTGAGCCCAAGAAAGGCTCCTCCCTCAATGTTCTGCAGTTTATTATTTCCCAGATGCAGGGATACTGCGTGTGAAAAATTCAAGAATGTATTTGGATAGAGGATATTTAAAAAATTGTTTTGGAAGTTGAGGTGATAAAAATTAGACCAAGGTGGTTTCAGCTGATTTGGTCTGTAGACTGAAACCTTCTCACAGTTGACATAGAGCACATTCTCAACTGACACGCAGGAGCACACATTGCAAATTTCCACCGATATGTCAGAATCTGCATTTGCCGAAGAAATCAGTGCTGACAAAATCAGAAAGAGCCAAAGAAACATCTTCTTGCAATCAGCAAAGAACTTTATGCTTCTGAATAAAGATAAATAATCTAAAAAATAAAAAGAAAACATTTTTTCAATGGTCATTACTTGAAAATTTTTGTTTAAATCATATTATAGTGAGCACATGGCTATAACTACTACCTTGTATTTTTTTAAAGCACCCAAAACTCCAAATACTTGCATTCAGTTAAACAATGGTCACCAAAATTGCCACATATTTTATTTCCATACCTGTAGTTTATATAAAATTTACATGTGCTGAGTACACAACAAACAACAGAAAAGGAGATTATTAATCATACTTACATCTTAATAATCTGAATTTCTTTTTTACTTGACCTACCAAACCCTGCCCTTCCTATTTACAACTCAAATAGCCATCCCCTGGATCATGAAGTATGCCATGTCCTTTGCACCACAAAGGCACTGCAATTAGTGGATATCTAAACTCTAGGCTTGTGTTAGATAGAGAAGCTGAGCAGAGCCGTATTAGGGCCCAGGTTGCAAAGAAAGGTGGCGATAGGAGGACTGGATTGCTTAAAAGACCTATGTAGAATTTGCCCTGCAAAAAGATATGCCTGAGCTTCAGCTCATAGGTAAGCACACTGCCATTAATCAGTTCACTCTTATACACTGCTACCTTTAAAAGCACAGATGACCCTGTGGGTTCTAGAAATAGAGCTGAGTAGGGTATGGCCAAATTTTGTTTTCAGGTGAATAAAATAAATAGCATCTAGTTGCCTGCCAGTCATCTTCCAAATAGGGGGTTAAAAGAAAAGCCTATTGTCTTTGCATCCCTGAAAACAGGAGAAGAACCTGCTTGCTGTAGCATTGCTTAGCTGTGTCTCCAGGCAGCCTTTCACACCTAGAACTGGCTCTTGCCTGTCAGGCCCTCTTCTGTTCCTTTATTTGCCACTTTGAACCCAGGTCCAACTGAAGTTTGGGTCTAACGCTTATCTCCTTCACATTGACCATAGACTGCCCCTGCTGAGGAAGAGGAGTTCACACACTACAATTTGAGTAGCTTAATCTGCAGAACCAGATATAGCACATTTTCTTCCTAAAGGCATCAGTTCCCAAACACAATCACAATATTATCTCCCCATGTCCCTGTCTGTAAACAAATTATAACTTCTTGGTAGAGTTCAATGTTTAGCAAATTAACCAGTTATAGCCCACTTCTTAAATACCACACACACACACACACACACACACACACACATTCATACACACAGTATTTCTGCTTCACAATAAATATGAAAAGGAACACAAACAGTGTGCATTCTATTGATGCAATTTTAGGTATGTGAGTCTTTTCCATCGTGAATGGAGAGCTAGCTGCAATTTCAATATGGTTACCACCAAATATTAATTAAATAAATAAAATACCCAGAAACACACAATGAGGAAATGATGCAAAAAAAAAAAAAGTGTCACACAGAAACTCCTTTGTTTATTTTGCTCACGAGGAATCAGCTAGTGGTAAAATGGAACATATCTCAAGGTAGACAATCCATTAAGCCACCACCTAGGAAAATTTGCATTTTAAATAGTTTGGTATCAAATATAGCCAACACTGCTGAGATGCTACTTAGCTGCCATATAAAGGTGCATTTCCCCTATTAACTATGAAGGTAAGATTGACATTTCAAAAAGAACTCACAATTCTTAAGTATGACATCACCCAAGCAAACTTTAATTGTAAAATCAAAATTTCACTTGATCTTTTTTACCTTGATGTGATTTTCAACAGCTATTTTGATTCAGTTGAGTCATTTCTTGTTACTAACCATCACCACCCCCACCCCTAAAATGGGAAAACCAAAAAGCAACCAAACTAGAAAACAAAACAAATAAAAACCACCACCACCACCAACAACAAAAATCTAACCCAAATTCCGTACAAAAACAAGAAGCAGCAGCATCAACAGATCTGAAAATGCATAAGGAGCTCTCTTCTTCCTAATAATTTCTACTTTAAGCAGCAAAGGGGAAAAAAGGCACAAGGACAAGCTAGGAAGTTGCCGAATACAGCTCTTGTGAAACAGAGGAAGCTGAAAGCAGCTGGAGGAGCAGGCAAGGAAGAGCGAGAGTCTGTCCGCCAAGGAGAGAGGGATAGAGGCACTGAAAGGGCAAGAGACATGAAGAAATGGAAAATGGAAAAAAAAAAAAGAGCTCAGAGAAGGGAGCTAGAAAGAGGATAAAAAGGGATACTGAATGTAAACGAAAAAATACGCACATTGACATGGCACCGCTAAAGCATGCACTAAAATTGTGGGGGGCGGGGGGAAAGGGCAAAAAAGAAAACATACAAAGTACGAGTTGGGTACCAAAAGCCATCTCTCAGGCTGCCAAGAGCAGTCTGTCTCCTTGTCTTTCCATCTTTCTGTGCCCAGCAGGACGCTCAGATTCCGCTGCCGGCCAGACTGCACAAAACCTAGCCCTACCACAATTTTGGCATACACCAACAGAGCCCCGCCTGGCGCTCAGCGCCTAGGAGGAGGGAGCTTGCCTACCGGGGACACAGCACAGGCAGCAGCGTCGGTGGATCGAGGTGGCTCCCCCGGAGCTGACAAGGGAAACCTGCGGGTCCCCCTCGGGCAAGGGTAGAGGTGTAGGGAGTCCAGAGAGACTCAGTCGCTACCGTCCCCTGTGCGCTACTTCGGGCCGGCGACGCGGTTGGAGCGGCCACTGGCGCTGGCGCGTACCGCAATGTTTTGCCGCAACCCGGTGCCCGGAGCCGGCGCGCAGCCCCCTCCCCGGTTCCTGGTCCAGGCAGCAGCCTCGCGGGCAGGGTGGCGGAGGCGGGGTACTGTGCGAGATGTCGCGGGGGCCTTCAGCCCGGCTGCGCACACATTTCCCAGCGCGCTCTCGTCCCATAAGGGGTAGCTACTGGAGTTTCCTTTGGCCTTTCTAGACCTTGGGGTGCAGTGCGTTAGGAAGAAAAGAAGATAACTAGCCCCGGTCGCGAGGGCGATGGCACTGGGACGTCACCGATCCGTTTGCCACAGGCAGAGTGACCCAATCGCTACGTGGCCGCGGGAGAAGGCTCAGGCTCCCCTTGCCCGCCACCCCCCTCCCATGGCCAGCTTCACAAAACTGCTCACCAAGCCAGAAATCAGCTCAACATTTAAGCGCCTTGCAAAGTCGCGCTGCGAGCGCTGGACCCGGCTTTGCAGGGCTTTTAGAGTTACCCACCGACTCCTCCTCTCGAATTCCCCGTCTTGGCGAGTCCCAGCAATCTCAGACCAGCCGGTGGGCCACTGCCTGGAGCCCCACATCTACGTCCGCGCAGAGTGCCTGAGAGTAGGTGCAGAAAACAAAGCCCAGCACAGCGCAGCGGCCCCACCAGCTCGAGCTGCCAGATGCCAAAGACCAGGACACTTTCCCTGCCACCCCCGCCGTCCAGGGGGCAGGGATGCTAAGGGCACCCGGATTCCTTCGGTCCTCTGGGACAAGCGACAGTGCTGTGGGCAAGCAAGTGGGAGGTGTGTGTGGGATAGCTAACACATCCACTTCGGCCACGCAACCGGCCCCAAACCAACAGGACTCAAACTAAAAATAATAAGCTACCTGCCTCCCTTCACGCGGGCGCGCGCACACACATACACATGCGCGCGCGCACACACACACACACACACACACACGGACACACACACACACACACACAATGACAATCCGTGCTGGGAAGAGAACGCCCGTGTCGCTGCAGCTCATGCAGTCCTCAATGGAAATTCACCCACCTCTGGAGCCCAGCGCCTAATGCGGAGCCCTTCGCGCCACGACCGGAGCTGCAGTTTCCGTGATGGTCTCTACGTGATCTGGGATCCAGCTTTTCTACGCCCGCTCGCGGGTCAAACCCACCGAGCAGCCCTAGCAGGCTAGCAAGCGGGCAGCGGCGCGCGCGCGCACCCAGCCAGACACCGCGCGCGCACCCAGACCCTCGCACACGGGCTGCACCTTTACATACACGCGCTGAATCTCCGCCCCCGCCCCCGCCCCCGCCCCCTGGCACTCACGCAGCCCTCCCTCCCAACACTCAACCACTTCAACCCCCACCCCCAACATTCCGGATCCGCCAGTCCCCTACCCCAACACCCCCTCTTGATAGCTCTTCTACCCACACACCAAGAAAGCCAGCGCGCTTTCCTCCTGGCATCCGCCCCCTCTTTTGCCTAAAACACCCCTAGGGAGGAGCGACCCCTATCCTCAGGAATAGAGACCCTAATTTCCTAACGCGGGCGCACTAGCCTCCATCCACCCCCGCCACCACACACGCACACTACAGTCTTTTCTCTTCCCAGTCTCCTAAGAAGGAATACACACACACACACACACACACACACACACACACCGCGTTCCTTTGAGAGAGCAACCATGAACCCAGGAAAAGCCAAAGAAACATTGGAGAGCCTGGGGGGAGGGGAGCCAAGGGAGATGGGGTCGTCAAGTCTACGCGGAATTGAATAATTCCAGGATGGAGGGGGGTGAGTCAACAACAATGACATTCAAATACAACAATCTCACTTGGGTTTTGTATCTCCGGTAAGGTACCTTTGGCTAATAGTCACCCTGCAGATCTGAGAGCTCCGAGAATACTTCTTGGTAGCTGGCGATCCTGGATGGAGCCTTCTTGGGACCAGTTTTCTGGGATCCAGTAGTATTCGCACTCCCCCTACCTGTCTGCGTCTAAGGGGCCGGGGGCTTTAAGGTAAAAGTGTGAGGCTTTAGCTCAAAGTGAGACTATTTAGTAGAGTTAGAGGCAGATGGGTTAATCCTCCGCATTTTAGAATTCTGAGAGCACTGGGCATTTGGCATAAAACGGGTTAAGCAGGATGATTAGGGAACTGGGGGTGGGGAAAGGGGTTGGGGGAAAAGGGGTGTGGGAGTGGGAGAGATGCAGCACTTGCGACCAAAAGAAAAGAAAAAAAAATCTGCTCTGGCTACTGAGCATGCCCAGTTCCCAGCTCAAGCCCTATAAGGGAGGCATTGTGTGCGTTCCACTTCTCCGGGCTTTGGTGGTGACCGGGAGGGGATTTAGATGGGGGTGGGAGGCTGGGGGGTAGATTGGAGACTTTAGGGAAGGGGGTGGGGGAGACCAGTTTTGAAGCTGTGGGACTGAGCTGGAGGACCTTGGAGAGGGAAGGGGAAGGGCCCCCACTGGATTCATTGGGGAGACAGAGGTGAAGAAATGAACTAAGAAAAGTCACTTAAGTAAGCCCCTTATTGTCTATATCAAAGGATCTTTAGCAGCTGAGTCTGAAATATCCAGAGGCTGCAGATCCAGCCTATGGATTTTCTAGGCCCCTTATACCCATTTGTTCATGCTGCCATGAAAAGGTAGGAATAACCCCAGGGAGGGCCGATGTTCAAACCAGTTTAATGAAGATTGGTAATTTAATTAATAAATTTAAGAAAACAAATAAACCCCTGGGAAGGGGTCAGAGGACTTTTGCTGTCATGCATGCCTTTTCAAATACCTGGCTTACCTTTTGCTCCCTACCTCCAACCATGCTGTTTTTATAGGGTGCTTGGCTAAGAAGAACAACTCTTTCTTTACTTTGTGTCTTTGAGAATAAACTGGCTTTAGGTAAATGGGGCCAGTCATAACCAGGAGGTATTTCCCTGGTACACCTGGTATCCCATTTGCCACATTTCAAGTACTACAGCCAGCTGATTTCTTCAGGACCCATGTTCTGCCCACTTCACTTATTCAGATTCCATTGAGTATTGCCAATATCCAGAGATGTTTTCTTTTTTCTTTTGCTTAAAACTGAAAAACTCTTTAAGCTAAAACTAGCAGTAGCTTTGAAACCGAATTTGGCTGTCTGCCTGAACTCCTACAGTTAAACATTTACCATTGATGTTTAAAGGTCCAAATCTAGGCAAAAAAATCTGATGGGCAAAGGATTTATTATATTTTTGTCAATAATGTCCTATCTTCTATATTGTCTGTAATATCTGTTCATATATACTTTATCATTTTTGCCATTTTTATCATTTCATGAAACTGCCTTCCAGTTATATTTATGCAAATGTTGGTTGGGAACAGCATGTATACAGAGATGCACATACAATATTTAGGTAGATATGCATATATAGGCATATTTCTTTATGACCTTAGCAAATAGTACATCTTTATAAAGAACCCTTTCTTCACCCCCTGTCCCATTGCCTTGAAAAATTTCATCTTCTCTTTTGAAAACAACCTAGAGACAGAAATTGAGTGGGAAGCAATGGTAAAATGTGCTCTATTCAATGTGAAACCCATTATGAAATAGTATTGCTTATTGAAACACTAAAGGATCCGTCCATAACAACATATGTACTTGTGCAGCTCCTCTTAGTGAGGTGAAATGTTTCCTCCATAGGTAACAGCTGCAGTATGTTGAAAAATCCCGCTACTGTTGTACATTTGAACAAAACAGATCCTTCTAATTAAGAACTCACATTTGCATTATATTGCATAATGCAATTTGGAAGTGGTAATGGATACCAAAACAAGTTGGCATTTATTCTAAATGCAAAGGATTCAGGAAGCTACAATATATTTTATCAGAATAGATGAATTGTTTGTCCTTTACTATAAATGTTAACAAGATTCAATAGAATGAGCAAAAAAAAAATTACCTGAAAATATAATGCACAAAGTACCATGATAGCTGAAAAGGCCAGATTTGGACAGTAAATATCAGATGATTTAAATGCCTATCTTTATTCAACTTTAAAAACTGTTCTGAGACTTGGATATATTTAACTTTAATAACTGTGTAATGTTATTTTTTTCATATGGGTATGAAATCAAGTGTAGCTAGAACACTGATAAATTGCCATTAATAATAATGCAAAGAATTTATCAGTGATTAATATTCAACTCATTAAAATGGATGTTTAAAAAAATTAAGTGGACACAATGTAAAATACGAGAAACAACTTCCATGTTTTATGCTTCTTTTACTTTTAAAGTAACTTAAAAATTCAATCCTTGAGTCCTACAGTCTTTTTTCCACCTCCTAGATCTATATGTGACATCCACATAGAACAATAGTAAACTAAGGGGAATTGCTAGCTTTAAAAAGGAAGTAAATACATAAAAAACAAAAGTGTTAAGAAAACGCCAGCACTATATATGATGATATTGAACCAAAAACAAAGTTGATGTTCCTCAAATGTATGAATGTAAAAATGATACAATTTGTAATAACCTCTTTGAGTTTCTCCAGATGTTCTATTGAGCTTAATCTTGGCTTTGCAGGAATATACCCGGAACCACAGAGCTATTCTGATATATTGTGCCTCCTTCCTTCAGGGAAAATAAACAGTTGCACCAGGAATTTCAACAAGATCTTGAATATTCTTAATTCTAAAGGCAGTTTAAGTCATTAAAACACTATGAACACAAAATGATTATCATGCGAATGAGTCTTTGCCCTAATCAGTGGTCTTTACCTTTCTTAGTATCCCTTATTTATTTTACCTTGTCTTACTACTGTTTAGCCTTAACTTTTGTATCTAGGTGTCACAGATCACTCAATTTAATATTGAAGATTCATTTATCTTCTGGCATTTTAATAATCATGAACTTGGCATTTTGTATTTTTTGGAATACAAAAAAAAGTTCTTAAGTTGTTAATACATCTGGGAATAGCCATTTCCATGATCAAATAAGTTTAAAAGATCCTTGGTTCCAAACAGCTAGCCCTATTTCTTAACTTTATAAACATTTAATTATATTAAAATGAATTTTTAAATACCAAGGGAAAAATGATATGATACATAACATTTAACAAACTAATTTGACAGTAGAACCTATTTTTTATTATTACATTGTGAGAAATTTGGGCTAGTTTATTTATTTATTTATTTATTTATTTTGCAAATTTTGTAGAATGTAGGAGCTGAAAGAGAGCTTTCAGGTCATATTTTAACCCATATAATGGTAGCTACTACCTATTGAATGCTGCTGCTCAGTCATGTTGTCTACAAATATTATTTTATTTAGTCCTATAAGCAAGGGAAAAAAATCATTCTTCTTTAAAAAGATGTTCAGGGGGGCTGAATAATTTGTCTGAGCTTACATCTTGAATAAGTGATAGTCAGATCTTTCAGGTCTTTCTGCTTCTCCACAATTCTTTTCCAGTGGGGAATCAAGACACTTTTGACTTTGAAAGCAGAATAGATTTGAAAGCACGATGGATTTTACAAATGTAAATACTTGGGACATAAACGTTTGTTGATATTAAAGTGTCAATACTTAGCATAAGAATAAACTAATAAAAGACATGAAAAAACAGTTCTCAACTATACATGACAGAGCATCTTGAATCAACTGGTTTTACCATTTGCCAACATTGAGTTGATTTGGAATCTTTGATGATGTCTCAGTTGTCCCTAACAAGGGACAATTTTGCTACTGCCAAAAGGAAGAATATAAAGGAGTAATGTTCTTCCCCAGACTTACACCAGAGTTGAGGCAAAAAAAAATTATCCAATAGGATAACAAAAGAATTGGAAAATATGATGTTAGTTGATCATTTAATTATATCAACTACCTTGTTCTTCCTTTCCCCACAGACTTCATTATGGTGCAGCTAGTAACGTGTTGTCCTTTTCAGAAGCTAAGGTGTCAGTTGTTAACAAAGTCTCTCCACTCCAGTCAGTGGCTGATTTTTCACTTGATATTTCATTCACAAGTTATTATTTCTAGAAGAAGAATAAAGAAGTGTGTGTTGTGTTGAAGGATCATGGTAATTTTGGCTTATCAGTAGTACTTGTTCATTTGGGTAACTAGTACCATCTATACTGTCTTTAAGGTCATTTAGCCTAAGCCACATATTCTCACATAATAGCATCTCTGTTTTATTTACACATTTTTCTTTCTTGTGTCCTCTATTTGGAAAAATCACATCTTACTCACTGTGAAAGATTGGGGCCAAGAAACAAGCTCAACTGCCCTCAGACAACTTGAAGATAATAAAGATCATAAAATAAAACATAGGAAGTTAATAGCTAAAAAATCTACCTTGAGAATTATTCTCATGGTCTGTG